TGGAGACCAGGCTGGCCTCGAACTCACAGAGATCCGCCTGGCTCTGCCTCCCGAGTGCTGGGATTAAAGGCGTGTGCCACCACCGCCCGGCCTTCTTTGTCTTTTCTTAAACCTTACTTAATTCTGGGTCCTTTAGACTCTTACACACTGCTTGCACTGTATTTGTACAAACTAAATCTTCAGATACAGTACTTTACATTTCAAGGACAAAATAATGTCAAAGTGGGCCGGGTGGCGGTGGTGCACGCCTTTAATCCCAGCACATGAGAGGCAGAGGCAGGCAGATCTCTGTGAGTTCAAGGCCAGCCTGGGTTACAGAGTGAGTTCCAGGAAAGGCGCCAAAGCTACACAGAGAAACCCTGTCTGAAAAAAACAAATAATAATAATAATAATAATAATAATAATAATAATAATGTCAAAGTGAACGTCTTTTATAACTTTCTCATAGATCTTCATTAGTTTACTAAAACCACATAATTCCTGGTCTGGTCTGTACACCACTGAAAACCCTGTCTTTGTGACTGTCATCTCTGACTGTGTATTATGGTCTGTACACCACTGAAAACCCTGTCTTTGTGACTGTCATCTCTGACTGTGTATTATGGTCTGTACACCACTGAAAACCCTGTCTTTGTGACCATCTCTGACTGTGTATTAGAAGGAAGGAGGGAAGGAAAGACACAGAATAAATGGATTTCCAGAACAAAAATGTGTCACAGAAGATAAGTATGAAATTCAAGTAATAAAAAAAGACTCTACTGAGTTAAAATTTTATTTACAGATAAAATCAGATACATCAAAAATTTAATCCAGGGGGAGAACAAGGGAATCCGTGGCTGATATGTAGAACTGAATTGTATTGCAAAATAAATTTAAAAAAAAAAAAACATAAAAAAAAAAAAATTTAATCCAGATGTGCTAGTACATACCTATAATCTCAGTACGCAGGAGACTAAGGCCAGGGGACCAGAAATTCTCAAGACCAGCCCTGACTACATACTAGGCTCAAAGTCAGGTGGAGACAGGAGAATTGCGTTGAGTTTGAGGCCAGACTGGGCTACATAGAGAATTAGAGGACACTTTGAGCTACAGAATGTGACCAAGTATCCCATGAAATAAAGATGTTTTCTTTCTAAAATTTGTCCTGTTCTTTTGAAGAAATTAGATTAGTATTGAGTTTAGTGTCGCAAAGTATTAAAATAATAAATGAAGCAGCTATTATAGGAGACTATAGAGAAAGGTTAATTGTAATTAGAAAATGTTTAATTAAAATTGAAGTTTCTTAAAATATTATTTCTAGTGTCATCCCACCCATATCTCCAGGGATGCTAGAGTAGCTACAATACATTCACCTGAGCTGCCTGTCACCCTTCCAGGCTCTTCTTCCCCGGCCCCCATGTCTATGGTAACATCAGTAAACTTGCCAGTAGAGGACACCACAGACCCAATACTTAAACAGAAGTACAGAGGCCTGGAGAATCATCATCCCTACTCCGCTGCCTCTGCGTCCACTTTTCAACAGTCATTCACCACGGTGGTTACAACAAAAGGTCTGTGTTGGTTAGGTTTTATTGTCAACTGGACAAAATCTAGAGTCGCCTGGGAAAAGCAAACCTCGACTGAAGAATTGCCTGTATCATATTGGCCTCTGATATAGCAGGCCTAGCCCACTGTGGGGGGCATCATCCTTCACTGTACAAGAAAGAAAGCCAAATATGAATCAGAAAGCAATCTAGCAAACAGCATTCTGCCAAGGTTTCTGCTTCAAGCTCCTTCCTTGAGTTCCTTTCCTGGTTTGCCTTAATGATGGATTGTGGCTGGGAAATATAAACCAAACAACCCTCTTCTCCCTGGGTTGCTTTTGCTCCGAGTGTTTTATCACCAAAACAAATGAAGCTGGAATACTGACCAACCACAGGCAGACAGCTGCCAGGCTTAAGAATCAATGAAAAAAGAATGAGCTGGGAAGGAGCAGGATGATACGAGATGGAATAAGAGAAACAGAGTGGAATGGATGGATGAGCTGCATGGGCAGGATAGAGAGGATAGAATGGGATGGGATGGAGTGAATGGGAAGCGATAAGAGATTGATAGAATAAGATGGAGGGGATTGTATAGAATAGGGATAGCTCTTCATCCATCCTTGGACTATAGGTCTCTTTGGTTAAGTAGAAATAAAATCTATTAAAGCAGAGCCTCATAAAAAATTAAACCCCCCCCATCATCATCATCATCATCATCATCATCATCATTTAGGTTACAAACAGAATACCTTTAGCCTAAAATGACATATGACTTGAACATTGTAAAATTTCAAATAATTCTCCCTAAGAAAAAATGAATGAATAATGAAAAATAGCTGTAGCTACAGAGGCAATGTTAGCAAGGAGTGAGAAACAAAGACATCGCCCGAGTCCTCAGTGACCCACACATACAAAATTACACAGGCTGGGGTAATGTGATTGCCCATTCTCCAATCAGCCAGCAGATGTGCTGCTGCATTCTGCATGAGCAGCAAGTGAGAGACAAGCCTGCTGGAAGTCCTACGAAAAGAGAATTACAATAATCAAGCCTGTGCTCAGCCAGGACATGTGTTACTGTAGCAGAATTAAATACAGAAGCACACCCAGCCTCCAGCCTGAAAGGCACAAAACCATCACCAGAACCTTCCACACGTTGCTCATTAAAAGAAAAGGCACAGTTAAAAAGAAAAAGGAAAAGCCCAGCCACATGATTTAGCTGCATTTGTGCTGTTGAATCACTGGTTCTACCCATCTTTTTCTCTTTCTGCTGATGGCCTTTGCCACTGTTTATGCTGTCTCCCAATCTTGACTTTTAATTGCAAGATGTCAATCATGAGACTACAAGGATTTAGAAATGATTCCCTCCATAGAACACTTTAAATAAAACATGGCAAGCAGTCTGTATATACCTTGATAATGGATTTCTATCATCAAAAGCTGTTGTATAACATCTGAATATGAAAAACTAGAATCTTAACTTCAAAGAAACCATAGGCCCAGCCTCTAGCTAATGCAATCAGTTCATTCAAATGATAGTTGTATGTCTGAAGTTTTCTTTAAACCATACTTTACTTTGTTCATAGCAAAACAATTTACAAATTAAATAACACTATAATAAAATGATTTGATACAGTTTTAAACAGAAGAAAGGAATGGAACGTTTTCAGGTTACAAACACCCTCCCCCCAGAATGAATTTTATAATAACCTTTTCTAAATCTGTCAATGTGACAAATGTATTCAGTGATCAATCTTGTCTAATTCCTACTGCACCAGTGGTCAATGGAATTAAAAGGCTTGCCTGGCTTTCAGAATTGCTGCTTCAGAGGAAGACCTCTTGTTAGCGTCTTTTGGAATGCAAAAACCATCTTGCTACACAGAAAATTCAATTCACATTATCAACCACTTCATAAGCAAATTTCTTTTTGCCCTCTATAAATTAGTGGATTTCAAATTGTATACCCAGAGTAGAGGGCTCCCCACAGCCCGAGTAAAGACAATCTGGCCTGCCTATCGCTGGCTCACAATCAGCCCCATCTCCAATGACTGGCTACCTTCCTACCCCTCCTTTGCAGCCCCAACACAAGCCACTGAGCTTTCTCCAGGGCTGTGCAGCAGTCCCTTTCCATTATCTTTGCTGCCTGTCTTGTTCATCTCCATCTGCTTTCCACAACAGCCCAGCATAACCCAGTATCTCCAAACACAAACCACCTGCTCCTAGGGCTTCCCATTCCACCTAAAGAAAACCCAACCAAAGCCTTGCCTCGACTGAGAAGACCCAGCCTGCACAACCTGACACTCACCCTGCCATCTTCTAGTCTTTCCATGTTCTCTCCTTTCCTTCAGATGCGCAAGAAAATTGGTTTCTTTCTCTGCCCTGAAAATATCAAGATCCTTCACACCTTGAAGACTCCCCACCTCCAGGCTTATATTCTTTTCCTCCTGGCCTTGTGCTCCTTCTTTTCATGGAGGCTCCTCTTCTACAGTGTGAGCTTCACTGTCCCTCCTCCAAGAAGCTCTCTGTCCAGGACCACTGGGCATTATCATCTACTCTTGAGCCCTACTTATGGCCTACAGAGCAGGCGCTATAAATGTGCACTAATGAAGCCACTTCCTTTACTAATTTACCAACTCTATCTTCAACGAGACTGAATTCTACAAGCCATGGACATCACCAGCTCCTGGGAAAATGGCAATGCAGTTCATACCTGACAGTGAAAGAATGAAGAGGTGAAGAGGAGGGAAGGAGGAGGGATGTGGGTAGGGAAAGGAAGGGGATGCGTGTTCTAATACGCTTTTCTGTTGCTTTGTTAAAGCATTCTGACACAAAGCAATTGGGGGAAAAAACATTTATTTGGATTTCAATGCTACAGTTAATCACCAAGGAAAGCAAAAACACAAACTCAAGGCAGGAACTGATGCAGAGACCACGGAGAACGGTGTTTACTGTGACTCCCATGACTGCTCAGTTTTCTTCTTTTTTTTATTTGATTTCTGAGATTATAATATAATTGCAACATTCCTCTCTCCAAACCCTCCCACAGTCCTCTCTCTATCCTTCAAGTCTATGGCCTCTTTTTTCACTAATTATTATTGTATGTATGCAAATATATATACTTAAATATAACCCGCTTAGTCTGTATAACATCATTACTATGCATGTTTTCAGGGCTGACAGTTCATTCTCTTAAACAATCTAGGACCACCCGCCCAGGGGGGCACAGCCGACTGTGGGCCAGCCCTTCCATATCAATCATTAATCAAGAAAAAGCTTGCCTGCAGGCCAATCCGGCGGAAGCAACTCCTCAACTGAGTCACCTCTTCCCAGGTGACTCTAGTTGGTGTCAAGTTGACACAAAATAAGCAGCACAAGTGAGAAGAAGAACAGGAAAGGAGGGGAGGAGAGGGGAGGGGAGGGGAGGAGAAGGGAAGGGAGGGGAGGGGAGGGGAGGGGAGGGGAAGGGAGGAGAGAGGAGGTGAGGGGAAAGGGGTGGTAAAGGGAGCGGAGGGAGGAAAGAATGAACAAACAGTGAAAAGGAAGCATGGATTAACATGGGCCTAACCACCTGTTTATGTCTGTTACATCTGAAATGTTAGTTGAATTGAATTCTGTGCAATGTAAACTATGTTCTTCAATGTCTTTTCCTATATCCTCAGAAAGGAGACTCCACAAAGAATTAGGAATAGATTTTGAATGAAGCTGTCCCCATCAACTTGCCTTGCATCCCCTTTGATGGGACAAAGTGCTGGCAGCCGTAGGGGTGGGCTCCTGCACCTCCTCTTCCTGCAGCTTTCCTGGGCTTGATTATGCAGCAATCCTTCCTCACTGGCCAACAGCGCTTCTTGTCTGTGGCTCAGGCAGCGTATCCCACACTTTCTAACCCAACTCTGTGAGGTCTCCTGGAGCACATAGAACATCTGACCTCAAGTCACATGTGTGGATGCTGCTGCAAAGGTGTTTCCATAAATTACCTTCCTGTTCCAGAGGGAGACATGTTATTTCTAGTTGAAATCACTTTTTCATTTCTCCAGGTCACAGGAAGTTCACACTCCCTGCTCAATCTTCCTCAGCCAGACTTCCAAATTTTGTCACATTTTAAAATGATCTATTTTTAAATGTACTGGTTTATGTAGATATGTATCTAGAAGCAAGAACATGTGTTTGAGTCTAATTTATAAGAAAAAACATACATGAAAAGTAAGTCATATTTTAAATTCTAATTCACCAGGTAAGACCAATTGTTTTCCCCAAAACACAATTTATTGGTATATGTACTAGTTTTTTACCTCAAAAATGTTAATTCAAATCTGCCCTCATATTTGACAGAAACTCTATTACCAGACATTTTTAATTCAGTACCCAATGAGAAAGCATTCACTTTTCATAGAAACTCCAGAGCCAGGGATATACAACTTTCACAAGCTATTCAATTTTGTTTTAGTTTTTAATTTATTTTAGTTGTACAAATTTATGGGGTGCTGTGCAGTGGTTCAATGTATGTTTCTGTATGTATTGATCATATCAGAGTAGGCAATGTCTCCGTCTTCCTAACCATGTTGGATTAACAAGCAATAATTTGACACAGGTAGAGGCTATAGCACCCACTTCAATCCCCACATAAATATGCACTGGCAAAATCAAGGCACTCATGTGCCTCATCATTGCGTTATGTTTGGAACTTTGGAGCTCTTCAAAACTCTGTTTTAGGCTGTGGTAAATTATCATGTTGCCCCCTCTGACAGAACGCTAGACGTCACTGCTTCTTACAACTTCTCGGATACTGGTGATCTGATGTCCCACCTGTCCCTCCCAATCTCTCATCATTTATACACTGTAATCCAGAGAAGCATCCACATATATGAGAGAACGTGCAGAAATTGCCTTTTTGAATTGGACTTACTTCACCTAACATAGTGTATTCCAGCTTCAGAAGTTTTACTACTAGTAAAATGATAGGCTATTATTCTTGATAGCCTACTGAATAACATGTTATCAGTATATTTCATATAACCAGTATATGATATATTACACAGTTATTTGTTACTATGTCATTGAAATACAAATATATGTGTAGCCACCACTTTCTTGATGGGCATCTAAGTTGATGCCACGTCTTGGCCCTTGTGACTTAGTGCAGCCAGGAATACATCTGTGATGTGCTGGCATTTCCTTGGGTTTCTTCAGTGACTGGATAACTGGATCGTATGGTAGATATATTTTTTGTTGTTTCCTGAAGAGCCTCCATTCCCACTGTTCTTTGTAATGACTATACTGATATCATTCCTGCAGTCGGAGAATTCCTACCAAGAATACACGAGAGTCCCCTTTTCTTTACATCCTTGCCAGTGTTTGCTACATTTTTAATTTTTTGATAAGAGATTTTCTAACCAGGATGAAATAAAATCTCATTGTGATTTTGACTAACATTTACCTGACAGCCAACAAAGTTGAACATTTTTTCATACATCTGTTGACCATTTGAATTTCTTCATTTGAAGAAGAATCTATTCATATTTTTCTGATTTTTAATTATTATTTGGGGGATTTTTGTCATTGCCCTTTTAAATTGGTTGTCTATTTGGGATATTAACTCCTGGTCACAAGAATAGCTTATAAATATTTTTCCCATGTATAGTTTGACTTTTCAATGCTTTAGTCGATTTACTGGACCAAAGTTCCCTGACTTGATGCAGTCCGATTTGTTCATTTCTGGTCTTATTTCCTGGATTTGGGGCATCTTATCCCAAGTCAATGCCTGTGTCAATGTGCTGGAGTGTTTCCCCACGCTTCCTTCTGGAAGTTTCACAAGTCCAGTTCTCATGGTCGGGTCTTCGACACCTTTTTTTTTAATTTGATTTTCTTACAAAATGAAAGACGGGTCGACTTTCAGTCTTCTGCGTGCAAATAACCAGTTTCCCCAGAACCATGCATTAAAGAGGCTTCCTTCTGTCTGGGTGTTGTTCAGACCTTTGTCAAAATCAGCTGGCAGCAAACGCGTCCTTATTTCGATGCACTCCGTTTTGCCCCGTTGGTCTGTGTGGCTGCCCTTGTACCAGTACTGTATGAGCTGTGTGATACATTTTCAAGTCAGGAAGTGTGTCCTCTCTTTCTACATGCTGTATTTAATTTTTTAATGTTCATGTATTTATTTATCCACTTCTCCAGTTGGTGAGCATACAGTTTTCCTAACAATCTCCAGTGACTGTGTATATCTGGAGCAGCCATAATAAACTGTACCTTTTACCCAACTTTATATGAGTCTTCTCTCTTTTAAATTACTCTAGCTAAAGGTTTTTATTTAAAAACAAACAAACGAACAAAACCCTCTGCTTTATTGATTCTTTGTATTGTTTGTGGTGTCTTTTATTTGCTTAGATTTTTCTCACTTTTTCTCCTTCTGCTGGATTTGGGGTTGCTTTGCTTTGCATTGTTTGTTGGGTTACTTCTTTTTTATGGAGGTTTTTATTGCTATAAACTTTTATGGTAGTACTGCTTTCACTGGATCCCTTAAGTTTTAATAAGTTATGTTGCTATTTTCATTTGTTTCAAGGAAATTTCGTGATTTCCTTTTTTACTTCGTTTTCTGTTTGTCTTTGGTTTTTGGTTTTCTGAGACAGGGTTTCCTTTGTAACCCTGGCTGTCCTGGAACTCACCCTGTAAACCAGGCTAACCTTAAACTCAGAGATGCGCCCACCTCTGCCCCCCGAGTGCTGGGATTGAAGGCATGCACTGCCATACCCTCTCCTTTTTACCGTGTTAGTGACTCTCTTGTCCTTTCGCACCGTGTTGTTCATTACCAGGCCCATGTGACACACAGCACAGTTGTCACATCCTATGTAGCTCCCACAGAGCTCCAGGATAGATTTCATGACTGGGAAGATCCTGAAGTCACAGAACTTGCCACTTGGGAACTCGGTAATTGGGAGCTGTAGATCTCTGAAGTACCACCACCTCCCCAGTCCATCATCACCGAGACACAGCCTCAGCTGCTACAAATCCAACACTACTTTACAGAACTTCAGAGACACAACCTTCAACAAACACATAAAGGTCGATTTCAGTTTGGCACTATATTGTATGATGACAGACTTTTAACAAAAATGTTAATTTATATTACCTCAGCATTAGACCCCTTTTCCACTAACTTTATTATTGGAACTTTATTTTTGTCTTCAAGCCCAAAGCCATAGCTGCCTTCACTGGATTTAATCTGAAATGTAAAATATTAACGTTACTGATAAAGAACAAGGAGAGCATCACAATGAAATCGACTGAACGCGTCAGCGTGCTTGCCAGCTAAGCGCTATACCCGAAGGAAACTTAAGGCATGGCGGCTTACCAACAGTGACTGAGCTATGACGTTCTCCACAACTTTCAAGTCATGTTTCATAAGCCTGTGTTTCATATTCGATCCTTCCATTTCCTCGTCGGCAAAAAAGCAGAAAAGTAGAGGCTCATCTTTGAATTCACTTTTTTCCAGGACTGCAGAAATGGAGAGATTCAAGTAATTTCAGTAAATTTGAATCTCAAGCTCACTTTCCACATCAGCACACACTCAGGGAATTCCTGCCAACAATGAGCTCAGGTTTACATCCTAGGACAAGGGGACCTCACGTATACCCCTCAGATTCCTTTGATAAATTATGCCTCCCTTCCCTGTAAATTACTGTCATCTACAAGATTTAGTATTTTAAAATAAGTAGTATCTTTCCAATGTTGCATTTCTTAGTCTTCCATTGTCCAAATTGAAAATCTAAATTTAAGAGAGAAAACACAATAACTCCTAAACCCCGTAAACTCTAAATATAAAAACTTAGGGCATTTTCTACTTTCAGAAAACATCGTAAACATGTTTTGAATACAGTGCCTCTTCATGGGAAACTGCAAAAGAGTTGCACAGCATCTTTCTATGTGTGAGCAACTCCCAGTGAGGAGTCACAGTTGGTCCAACACTTCAAACTAGAAACATGTCTTCTGGGTAAAATGTGATTTTAGTTTCCATGACTTGCTAACTCTTCTCTGTTTCAAAACAATATTCTCAAATAATCTTATTTCTACAAAGGTCAATTTTTTTCTCTTTTACATAAATGTTAATATTTTCCCTTAGTCCCTAGGAATGTTGATCTGTTTTGTTAGCCTTGTTTATACTACAGGCAGACACAGAGAATAAGAATGTATACTTACTAAGAGCTTGACAGGTGCCAAAATGTTTTAAAAGAGAAATCTGTATTTCTCATTCTTGGTCATTATTACCTTGTAGTGTGCTTGTTGGGACAAGGTGACTGACAGTAACAGATAGGCTGTGGTCCCAGGTCACTAAGCTTTGTGATGTATCAGTCCAGGTCTGGGGCCAACTCTGAGTGTGAAAATTAGAAAGTTACCTAAACTCTCTGCATTTTAGTTTTCTCATCTGCAAAATGGGGGTGAAAGAAATCTTCATACTGCCTTCCCTAAAATGAAGTACTACATATAAACAGCTTGGTATATGTCAAACAATCCAAAGAGGCAACTATTTCATTATTTTTACAGAGTTCCAGAAAATAATATGGAGCAGATGGGTGAATGGGTGATCTTTGGATGGAAGAGCATCTGGTAACATGGTGACAAATGAAGCCATCCACCACACCATAAAAACTAATGCAAGCCACCGTGAACAACAGAAAGGAAAAACACTTTGGACTGAGTTAAGTTTTGCCTCCATGATCTAATTGTTTTTCCAAAGATCACATGACATTTCCTCCAACAGCCTGTCCATAGCGGCCAACAGAAAAACCAAGAAATCTGGGCAGGAGACTTTTGTCACGTTAACTTTTGTTGTCACTTAGTATTTTGCAATAAATGCTTACATCAAATTATATTATGTTGTTGCTTTGGGTTAAAGAAAAAAGACCCTGAGCCTAGCTGGAGGATTCATAAGGACTTCTGTGAAAGATGATGCTGAGAATTTTACAGAAGATCTAAAAAGGAGCCCAACAGATCAACAGCTTCTTGAAGGCAGGAACCATCCTGCACTTGTCCTGATGTTTGTTTCAATAGCTAGTTAAAGTGACAAGCTTGTGCTGAAAGCTTTAGCTATTTTGATTATTTAAATGTTATATTTCCAAGACTTATATATCATTAAAAGGAAAAGTGTATAAATGTAATCTGAAATACTATAGTGAATACATATGCATTCTATCGATTTTGCATGAAATAGTTTTAAAACGTCAGTTATCTATTTTGTATAGTCCAGATTGACTCCGGTGTTGCTTTCTGATTTGTTGTCTAGATGATCTGTCCCTTCATGTGCTGATGACCCCTCCTGCTACTGTAATAGAGTCTACTTTCTGCCTTTTCAGTAGAATGCTTCCTTTATAAAATTGGGCATTCTGGCATTGGGTGTAAACGTATTTATAATTTCTACATCTTATTTTACTGACCCATTATTGTGGCCTTCTTCATCTCTTTGTGCGGTTTGTCTTTCTCCCGCTCAGGTTCCTGTTTCTGATCCAAACCTAGCTTCTCTTGCTCATGCTCAGTTTCTGTTCACATGGCGTATCACTTTTCCTACTTTCACTTTCCGTCTGTGTATCTGTGGGAGAGAAGTGCATTTCCTGTAGGCAGGTGTTTCTCCCTCTTCACTTTGCACCCATTTACCACATCCATATCTTCTAATTGGGGCTTCAGTGGGTTTCCGTCAAGGTTATTATTGGTGTGTAAACACTGCTGTCATTTTGTTAAATTTGTTTCGAGTACTCTTTATTCTGTTCCTTCTTCCCTCTGCTTCCTGGCTGCCATGATGTCAGCAGCTTTGCTCCACGTGAGTTCCCGGATGCGGTGCCTCACCCCAGACTCAGAGGCAGGGGAAGCAAATAGCCGTGGACTGGAAGCTCTGACCGAGTAAGTCAAAATAAACCGCTCCCTTTCTGAGTTGTTCAGCTCACAGTTTGTCGCAGTGATGGAAGGCTGACTAATGCAGCGAAGACTGTACTGTTAGTCCAGTGAGAGGAGCCCTCAAATGTGGCCTGGAAGTTTTCCCTTAGAGTTCTTAACATTTTCTCTTTGTCGTGTGTGTGTGTGTGTGTGTGTGTGTGTGTGTGTGTGTGTGGAGGTCAGAGGTCAATCTCTGCCTTACACTTTATTTCATACAAGGTCTCTTGTTTTTCACTGCTGTTCGTACCAGGCTAGCTGCCTTTAAGCTTCTGGGGATTCCTCTGGCTTCACTTGCCATCTCCCATGAGGGTGTGCTGGGCTTAGAGTCACGTGTGATTCTGAGGATCCAAACTCTGCTTGTTATGCTTGTGAAGCAATCACTTTACTTTCTGGGCCATCTTTTGACCTCGCTTTATACTTTTAAATTCTTGACTACAATATATCGTGGCACAGATGTCCCTGGCCATGTCTGTGTAGTGTCCTAAGAGCCTCCTACATCTGGAGGGTCTTACCTTACCACAATTAGGGAGGTTGTTTGTTATTATTGTATATTTTCCTTTGGTTTCTTTCCCTTTGGAGACACCAAAGATAAAATGTTTATTTCAGTTAATGACATGTAAAATACCTCAGGTGCTTTCTTTAATATTTTCTCCCCCCACTCCGTGTGTGTGTGTGTGTCTGTGTGTGTGTGTGTGTGTGTGTGTGTGTGTGTGTGTGTGTGTGTCTGTGTGTCTGCGTGTGTGACTGATAAATTCCAAAATACACACCATCGGATTCAGCCTTCTTCTGTCTGCTCCCCACAGTCTGTCACTGAGGCTTTCAGCAGTGTTTTTGGTCTTATTGAGCTGATTTCCAAGGTTTCTGTTTGTTTCTTTTTCAAGATCACTATTGTTTTGCTGAATTTCTCATTCATAGCATACTTTGTTTCCCTCACTCTGTCCAATTGTCTCTTCTCTTTGAATCTTTGAGACTTTTATAATTATCTTTTGAATCTTATCAAGCATTTCATCAATACTGTTTTATTTAGGATCTTTTACAAGAGGGTTATCATGGTCACTTGCACTTGTAGGCATGAGATAATCTCATTTTTTCATATTCCAGATGGTGCTACATTGTGACTTACACTCATGGTGGGTCAATTATCTATACTGCTTTTGTAAGCCAGCTCCCCCACACACTCACACACAAACGGCTTTCTCCTGAAGACGTGCCTTGTGAGATGGTATGCAATCCCGTCCTTGTGTCCAGTTGAGCTCTGTAACGTAGTCCTCCTATACTATATATACACTATGCATAGGGCCAATAGCTTCTTTTGACTATAATTAGTGTGCTGCTACATTAGTTACTTTCATTGCAGTGACCAAAATGCCTCACATACACAGCTTAGGTTCATATTTCCAGGGCTTCAGTCCACACGCTTAAGCAGGACATCACTGCAGTGAGCACACATGCCAAAAAAGTTCTTCATATCGTGTCAGACAGAAAGCAGAAAAATGTCATACAGAAAGACGCCAAACAAAACACAGCCCCCAGTGACCCACTTCCTCCAACTGAGTTCCACCTTCTGCCTTTCACTACCTCCCAATCACGCCATCATACAATGATCCATCAGAGGATTGATTACATCAAACAGTTGGGACCTAATTGTCTCTGGAGATTGGCCACAGACATACCCAAAGGTACTCTTCACTAATCTAATCTCCATCCCTGCAGGTTAGCAATCAATATTAACCAGCACAGAGGTCTCTGGGAGCCACATAGAGTCAGGGACACTCTAGCATACCACAGGGTATAGCACACAGCAGAGGGTGTGCAGTGCCCATCTTGTGGACGTGACAGCTGGGGGAATGTTGACAACGGGTGAGTGACAAGATTTCCTCAGGCACCACAGGAGTGAGCTCTGCCACTGGCCATAGCCTCTAACACTGGCAGACAAAGAACAGCAGACACTTGATACAGCAGACTCCGGTGCCCAGCACTGGGGGAGGCAACATCGAGACCTGACTTGATTCTAGTCCCAGCGATAGTGATGGCCCACATATGGCTGTCCAAAGGCAGAGGAGGAGGCAGACAAGGGTGGCGTCCCTCTCCTTGCACCCAGTTTCAGGAGTAGCTACCACCTCCACACAACTTTCACAAATCACATCAGTTGCAAAATTGCAATTCTTGCCCTAAATTTACAGATTGCCAAATAAAATTATATGCCAATCTATCACTTCTATATGCTAATCAAATTATAAAACAACACTTTCACTATTTGAAAGAAACACAGATTTTTCTATTTCTACTTCAATAATTTCATTAAAGGTTGATAAAATGTGACTTGATGTAGCTTGAACACTCCAAAAACCATGTTTAAGATTAATCCTGTTTTGAGGGATTAATAGGTTAGTAACAACCAGACAATGGTGGCACATGCCTTTAATCACAGAGACAGAGGCAAGCAGACCTCTGAGTTCAAGGCCAGCCTGGTCTACAGAGAAAGTTACAGGACAGCTAGGGCAACACAGAGAAAACCTGTCTCGAAAAACCACCAAAAGAAAAAGAGGTTTGAAACATAAACCAACTACTTTTGAATGTGCTCAGGATTAGATGAGATCATCAGAACAGAGCATCATAATTAACTACTGGTGGTTTTATGAAGAGAGGGTGGATTGCAGTACACACATGCACACACATCATAGTCTCTTGCCATGTGGTGCTCAGCTATCTGAAGACTGTGCCAGCAAGATGGCCATGATCAGACATCAATCTTGGACATAAGCTTCTGACCATGAGGTAAAGTAAACTCCTTGTTCTCTTTAGTGTACCCAGTCTGTGGTATTGTGCTATTAGCAACTGAAAACGGACAAAGAAAGGACCTGAAAAACAGTGCACGAGAATGATGATTGCAAGTCTTTTAAATATTAGAGAATGATGATTGCAAGTCTTTTAAATATTAAAGGTAAAATCAAGCCAAATGGATTTTCTTGAGAAGTAGTTCACGAGATGTATAATTTAAGGCCCTAAAATAGTTTGAAAAGAATAATTTCTCCAAGAACCTCTGGTGTCTGCACAGAAACCTTCAGCTGAGCAACCTCAGCACCATTGCAACTAGTCTTTAATCTTCTTGATTTCTCTGGCAACTTGCATGTTTTCTTCATTTTAATTTTAATTTCTCTTGAGCTATAGTTTCTGTTTTTAACTTCCAAATTTCTTTCTACGAGGAAAAAAAATCCTCAGAGGCAGAGGAAGTTCTCGTCGACACATAATTTCCTGGTTTGGGCGATGCACGATAGATGCCAGTATTTTCCCCTGGACATGGGCACACTCCCTGGGCCGACAGTCTCTCCTCTCAGAGCCCTCGTTCCAGTCTTAGGGTGTTTCTCTCCCTCCCTCCAACAAACCCACACAACTCCCTGCTCCCTGCCAGACACTAGCACCTCAGGAATGAGCCACCAGTCCAACCTGGGCGTGGCCTGGTTTCAAGTTTAACCTTTCCAAGTGCTGCCTGGCTAGAGCTGTTCCCACTCCACTCTTCACCCGCTTCCCTTCAGAGATCACCTTTCCAGAAGGCATGGAGACTAGGAGGACAAGACAAGGACTTTGAAACCAGACACCACTGAATTTGAATTGTATGCAGATCACAGCTGTGTGACTTTGGGCAATGTAGTTAACCTCTCTGAAACCTAATCTTCCTGGACATAAAACGCAAATAATAATTTCTTGTGTATTTTTCAACAGATTGTTTATAACAAATAAAGGCCAGAATATAGTAATTACTAATAAATGAAAAACAATAATTCTATAATAATATTTTTCTGTACCTTGGAAAAGATTGACCAGCCAATAAATGTAGACATCTTTATAAAGTGTTAGTAACAGCTTCCCACGAATGCCATCTAGATGGAATTTTGCCTGTGGCTAATGTGGTTCATCTAATAAGTGCCACATGGTAGGGGCATGATGGCTTGGGAATGTAATCCCAGCACTCATGAGCTGAGGTACAAAGACTGTGAGTTCAAGGCCTGCCTAAGCTAAATAGTGAGATGATTTAGAAAAGAGAGAGAGGGAGAGAAATACCAAAGAGACATTTAACTACTATTTGTGTTTTGTAAGTGTGCATGGATACATGTGGGTGTGGGGACATGTGTCCATGTATGTATGGAGGCCAGAGGTAGACACCAAGTGTCTTTCTCTATCACACTCTACCTTATTGTCTGAGACAGGGTCTCTCACTGCAGGTGGAGACCAGCAATTGACTGACTGGCTGACCAGCCTCCAGGACTGTATGGAAGGAGCTGGTTCCCAGAGCTCACTCTGGCTGTGCTGAGAAGACAGACTGACGCTGGAACCAGTGGAGAGAGGGTGCCAGAGAACCACAGGCTGAGACTGTTCCACAAATCCAAGAGAGGGACAACCGCTGTCTGAACTGGGCAAAGAAATACAAGGACAAGTTTCAGAAATAGTTCGAAGGTAAGGGCACAGGCTACTTACACAAGCATGAACAGGTAACCAAGGAATAAACAAAGAGCCAAATGTCGGTCTCTGACCAAGGGCTTTCCGGTACAGAAAGTAGGTACCAGTGCTAGGGGAGTGAGGACATTGAAACTCCTGGTTTGCCATCTGCAAATCCATGTCTTTTAGTTGCCAAACCAGGGCCATCTGAGCACTAAAATGTTTCAAATTATTAAGAAAACTGCACCCTGGGGATAGCCACGTAGCCAGGCATAAGTGATGCACACCTCTAGCTTTTTGCTTTCTTCCTACCAATTCATAAATCACTCAATGAAGATATAAGACAGTATCCACAAAAATCATTTGAGAATCTTGAATAAGATGATAACTGTTTTTAATCATAGTATTGTTTTTCTAGCTTAGTAAACAGTGAATGGAGTTAGCTGTTTGGTCAAGATGGTTGAGGTGCTTGTCCTACTGACAAGTTCCTTGTCAACGAAAAAGTGGGTCTGCAATTACATAAGAAGCAAACTTCTTAGACATAGGAGCTTGACAGAATAAAAGTTTAAAGTGAAAAGATCCAATCAGATAGCTTTAACTATTAATGAGTTGCGAGAAAATTTGTAAGAGATTAAAATATCTAAAAAATTGGTTGACACAGCATTCTCCAACATCAATATTCATACTATTGGCTGGGCATGATGGCACAACCCTATAATCCCATCAGAGGCAAGTGAATCAAAAGTTTGAGACCAGCCTGGGCTATATAACAAGATCATGTCTCAAAAAAATTTTTTTAAATAGTACTATTGGATGAAGATATCCTAAACATTCAGTGTTTTAAAACATTGATGTGTTAAATGTCAGCCAATAGAAAAGTGATTAAAGTGGGTGCAAATGTGTTTTGGGGGGGATGATGGAAATATTCTAAACCTAGACTTTAATAAACATTACACCGCTCACTAGATATACTGAACCACATTGATTTGTGCACTTATACAAGTGAATCTCATGGCACATAAATTACATTACCAGTAAAGAGAAGCCAATAAAGTAAAGCAGTGTTCAAATCGAATACAAATCTTTACTCTGTGTAAAGAAGGAAGTAGCCAACAGGCCCACTGGGTCCTCACAGCCCTGGACTGGCTGAAGGTAATCACAGGCCTGTCCAGCTCCACAAGGCAGTGGGCGGGTAGATGCCATTGTGATGAGTGAATGCATAGTGAAGAAATGGGTGAGAAAGAGAAGTGGACCAGTTCATGTGCTGTAGAAAGAGACAGAACTGAAGAAACCAAGATTGTAAGGAGCAGACTGATGTGAGTGGCCTATTTTCCACCTGGGGAGGGTGACTTCAGGGCCCAAGCTGCTGCCAAGGGCCATATCTGGATTCATGGTCCTGCTACAGCTGGGGTCTATGCTGATCTCTGTGGCCCAAGATACCACAGGGGAGCATCGGAGCCATGTGTGTTGAAATCCGAGGGCCATGCTGAGCCAGCTGGTCCAGGAAGAAAAGGCCCTGCCCCTCACTAGCCACTGCAGTAGAAGAAGTGGTCCCACACCCCTCACCACAGGTGTGGGAAAGCCATCCCCAATGGCATGGGAATAGAAGAGCTGATTCTGTCCCAGAGGCCCAGAGTGACCAAATCAGCTACCACCCAGATCCACATCCAGGGCTTTGAGTTAGCCCACCCCAGCGTCTATCGCATCCATGACTTGTCAGAGTGCATGAAGGGACTGGTCCTGTAGAACCATGCCTGTGGGATCTCCATGACCCCACATAACAGCAGGATACCCCAGAGGGGTTTTGGTGAGGGTCCCGTGTTGACAGTGTACCAGAAGCCAGAAGTCTTGAACCAGACCAATGACTCATTGCAATGAACATTTGCTAAAGCAGAGTAGACAAAAGGGTACACTGTCTGACACACCACAGCTCCCAGGGCCACTTAAACAAATGAAGAAGTGTTGGAGGGGCAGGAAAGATGGAGGAGTGAGGTGGTTTTTTTGTTTGTTTTGGTTTGTTTTTAATTAATAGTTTTTTAATTTTCCTTTGGGGGCATGCTATGGAGGTGAGGGGTGGACGTGGAGGGACTAGGAAATGAGTGGGATTCGGGTGCATGATGTGAAATTCCTAAAGAATCAATTAAAAAATTATGTTAAAAAATAAGAAAGAAAAGAAGGAAGTGGCCACCGGAGGAACGCAGGCCACAGTCTCTTGTGTAAAGTAATAGTGATCTCAATCCTGGAGAGATGACAAGCACATCTGTCTCCTTTCTTACCTAACATAGCACCCTTCTATGTTTATGTCATCAACTCGTAGATAGATAGATAGATAGATAGATAGATAGATAGATAGATGACAGATAAATGATATCTAGATAAAAGACAGACAGACAGATGATAGATAGATAGATAGATAGATAGATAGATAGATAGATAGATAGATAGACAGATAGATAGATGATAAATAGATGATAGATTTCTCACAAGAAAAGACATGTAGCATTTATTTCAATGATACAAAAGCAGAAACATGTCAGAGGAAAATTTGTTGTCCATAACTTAAAGAAAAGATAAAAGAGAGAATTACAAATGACCAACCACTTTTATGGGAAAAAGCAGAAATGAGGAGATTTTAGAGAGAGAGTGGTAGTATATGCTGGGAAAGTTGGAAATGGAGACAGCATTTGAGCACAGCCACTGAGTCTGAGAATGATTGGTTATGAGAAGCACAGAGAGGGAGGAACGGAGAAAATGTGGAACACCCTTGCATTTCTCAGCCTTGTTTCTTGGTAGAAGAAAAAATTCTGGCTCCAAGAAAATGTTCTGAGTTCTTAGGAAGTCTAAGTTATAAAACAGTTGAAAATATGGATTAGCCAGAGTCAGAGTGTCTTGGACATACATTCAATAGCTGTGTGTGATGGCTAGTTCAAAGCATGCAGTAACGGTTCTGCAGGAAGACTTGTTGCAAATGTTTTTTCTTTTTTTCAGAAAAATAATATTGGCAATGTGATTGTGATGTTCTTCTAACATGTTATAGAAGGATATTGTAATGGCTGCTTTATGTATTCTGGCTCACAAAGATGATTTCTCACTTACACTGTTTGAAGTCTATCATGGGTTTAGCTGTGGTTGTTGCCAGACAGCAAAATACAGAGTTAGGATTAATTACATAAATTAGTGTTGTCATTTTGAAGTTTTAACTGTATTCAGAATAAAAAGTACTTGTACAGCCTCATACCTATAGGTGTGTAAGGTATAGACCTCTATTTTGCCCTGATGAATAGCTTCTGCCAATCTGGAAAGATCTGTAGGGCACATACTACTGAGACAGCTCATTCCCAAATGAAGCAATAAATCTGGGATTGACAGCTCCACAGATCCATCACCAGGTCAGAGAGGCCTGTGCTCTGGTGCCATGACACTCAGGTAATTGGAGAATGAGAATGAAACGTGGACTGACATGACCCTCTGTTGGGAACACCACCAGAGACTATGACGTCTCCAAAACCACCAGGTTTGAGAATGTATCAGCAATCTTTAAGTGTTTTTATTCTAATAACAGAACTCATTAAAAATTTAACTTATCTCATAAAACACATATAGGTTATCTCTTTAAAAACAGCACCAAGAAGTGGCTGGTTGTTTTTCAAACGGAAGACATTTTTCTAAGGAGAGCTAATGTGATTCATGATTTTGAGGTGAATTATGGATTCTAAAAACCTTTTAATGAAGCCCTCTTTGTGCCAACATCTACCTTTAGGGTTTGGCTTTAAATAACGTTTGGTCAAATACCATCCTTGCTTCATACCCCAAAAGAGAGCTTATATTTTAAGATCTACATCTAGTGAAATAAATGCAATTGTATTAAGGAACATTAGTCACTCGAGCTGCAAAAATTATGAATTTATTAGTGATAATTTTTCTTCAAATTCTCCACAATTTGTTTTCATAAAAACTCTTTAAAACACTTGCTAAGAGGGCATCATTGAAATATTTTGTCTTTGTGTAATGGTGTATGTGTGCACTGTATGTTTGTGTTTATGTGTGTGTGCACATGTATGTATGAACATCTGTGCATGTGTATGTGAGCATGGAGATCAGAAGTTAACGGCAGATATTTTCCTCAGTCACTCGTGTGTGTGTGTGTGTGTGTGTGTGTGTGTGTGTGTGTGTGTGTGTGTGTGTGTGTGTGTATGTGTATGCATGTAAAAGATAGAGGGGGAGGAGAGAGAGAAATGAGGGATGTGCCATGGCATATGTGTGGGGATCAAAGGACAATGTAGTGAAGCTGCCTCCCTCCTTCCACCGTACATGGGCACTGGGAAACAAACTCGGTTGGTCAGGCTTGTGTGGCTTCGTCCACTGAGCCGTTTGCTGGCTCTTCACCTTCATTTTTGAAACCGTGTCTCTCACTGGACCTGAAGCTGACGGATTTGGCTGGACTGGCTGGCCAGAGAGCCCGAGTGACCCTCCTGTGTCTGCCTCCCTAGCGCGGATTACAGACTTGCACCTCTATGTGCACAACCTGTTCACGTGTTCTGGGACTCAAACCCATCCTCATACTGGGACAGCAAGAGCTTTACTGACTGGGTCATCTTCATAGCTCCTGACTTTGACATTTCTACACAAGGCAGGCAAATATTTTTATGGTAGTACATTCTATTTGTTATGGAAATAAGCATACCTGCTGTATAATTTTCCCTTTGGGTTACTGGGACAGCATTAAGGAGTAATAGCAAACTGTTCTCAGAAAACCAATTCTTAGCCACATTTTTTTAAGATTAAAGGATATCTTCTGGCTTAAAGGGAGATGGAAATATTCAAAGGCATAAAAATCAAATGGGTGAAACGATTTTAAGTTTCTTTGAAGAAACTGCTGAAGTTTAGCCAGAAGATATTATCATTTATACACTTTCTTTAAAATCCCTTTTCCAGAAGACAGCTTCTCAATGCCTCATGGAAGACGGCATGATTTAAGGAGAATCTTTAAGGCAGGGAGAGAGCTTTTCCCACCAGTGGCATCAAATCAGAAAGAGAAAGAAAATAGAATTAAAAAAAGAAAAAAGAAAAAAAAACCTCTTCAACAGAAATATCTAAAGTGGGAAAGCACTGTTTGGGTATTTTACATAAATTTGTGAAAGAGCTGCCTAGAAGATGTGATTATACGTAAAAATCAAACACACCTGAGTCTGAGGTGGTTCAGCATGGATTTGATACAGGAGACCCTCAAGGATGAGTAGACGGCTTCCAAGACTCTTCTGACAGAAAACCAGCGACATCTACTGTCTGGAAGTGAAATGGCAACGAAGCTGTTCCCTGCCCTGTGGGTAGGCCCCTGGGAAGGTTGAGCTGTCACCGATGCAGCTGAGGCTGGGCACTGGGTCCTTCCTTGCCTGAGTACTCTGCAGAAAGGGGTGGGGGTGGGAAGACAGCAAAACCATAAAACAGGCAGAGAAGGAGGAAGGCAGGATGCTCGGTGTGTGTCACCAGCGACAGCCATTATTTCCCTGAGCACTGAGGTCTTCTCAAAGCAAAATCTCTCCCACTTTATATTCTCTGCAGGTTTTCTAGCCGGCCTCCTCCAAATGTAGAAGCATTCCTTTTGGCCTGTACTCACCTTTTTTGCAACATTGATGAGACAGTATTTAAATTCCTTCCTAAGTCTAGGAATTTCTGGCATTGAGAAGAGAAATGTATGCAGCCACACAGGCTGTTAAGTCCCACCTGCTTATCTTTAACAGAAGAGGACTCCGAAGTCAGGAACATTGGGCTGTCCTGGGGTAACCCACTCGTTAAGTGCCTACGTGGTTACTAGGTTTCCTCAGTGGTGAGTCTCAGTAGGAACGAATTTTCCCACACTGCTCCAGGGTTCCCCTATCCCAAGTCCACTTTTATTTGGTTTTGAAGTGTTTAAAGTTTCAGAGATTTTAATACAATTGTACGTTTTCACCTGGGGAGATATTTCAGGGAAATCAAACTTTGATGTAAATACACAACAGAACGAGAAAACCAAATCAACTGTTCTCTGGAAGCTGCCGTTCTCAGGGCAATTTGTCTCCTAAAAATAATGATGAACTGATTCGCTATGAACCTATGCTTCCTAGTCTTTTAGCACAATATAAAAAATGAAACTCCTGATGCTTTATCCTAATTCTTTGTATATTTTTCAACTTTCTTGTCTTATCTTTGTCCTTGATTCATAAAGAACTTTGCAGGAATTCAATAAACAGTCTTTCATTTTCCTATAGAGGAAACACCTTAAGGAAACAGGGTGAATGCCTTTAAGAAAGACTTTCTGAATATTCAAATTCAAAGATTTCTTTTTTCCTACACTTCCTATTCTTATTTTAAATATGCAGTGCCCCTGGATGTCGGCTACCATACAAACCAGTAGCAAACTGCATGTCCAATTGTGTTCTTTATCTCTAAAGATTCCTTTTGTGTTCATGATTTTATTTTTAGATAATTTACATACCACACACATACACGTATCTTGAAGAGCAAATTTCAAATGTCAGAATTAACAGCCATCAAATTATTATTTTAATCCCTTTGTAAAAGAAAAAAAAAGCTAGGGTATTTTTCTAAACCTACCCTAAGTTCCAAAGTGAACAAATTTGACCTGAGCTCTGTGTTGGAACCCACTAGAGGTTAAAGGCACCTCCCTGCTCTTTTCTGAGGTCTGCAGCTTGGCTTGCCACAAGGAATCACTCTTCCTGTCAAGATCTTTGCTCCATGTTTACCTCTGCTCTGACAAGGCCATGGACCCTCTGAATTGCTGTTCTTTGCTCTGTCCCCACCTCTCTGTCACCCCACGTCCTGAGTCAGTTCTTTGTCGCCTGATTCATGTCTTAGAAAGGAAACACTCAGTAGTCTCACGGCCACAGCATCCTCTCTACTGCAATGTCCCACTCCCCACTTACGGTAACCCTGTCAAATAAAGTTTCCCCTTACAAAGAGGTCCAGGTTTCTGTTTTATTTAACAAAACCAATAACTCTGACTAAAGCTAAGGGAATATGACCAAATAAAATAATCAAAATTATTAAATGGAGTCTTCCTGCTCTAAAAGCAAAGCCACGCAGTTTCCTTCAGAGCATCTGTGTTGCTCTTAGGCACTTTTCTTTACTCGAAAGCAAAATTGGAAAACTTTACAAAAGTCAGACTTTCTGGGAATTATTTGCACTCAAACAAATTGAAACTGATATTATTTTGTACTCTGATAAATTATACTACAAGTCTGAACATTTTCCCTATTTTGTCCTAAGTATCAAATTCCCCCGAATGTATCCAAATCTGAACTTGTTTTCGTTGAGTGAAGGTAATTTACTATCAACTCAATGAGTGTCCTTGAAACCCACTGTTTTGCAACAGGATGAGAACTCTGAACATCTTCATTCAAAATTCCTGTCAAAACGTTCAGCACTCAGTTGTTAGAAAAGAAATTAATTTTCAATGACAAAAACCACATAGTAAGGCCTAGTGCCACTGTTAATCTTCAGGACATGTCTGCGGCCAGAAATGACCACTGCCATATGCCACACCATGTAAACAAACATGACCAGTGGACTCAATGGTACAAACCACAGGTGACAGCAGCGAGGAGCTGAGCAGAGGTCTTTGAAGCATCTCGCTGTTCTGGCAGGTAAGGAGACAAAGGTCCTCTGACGTGTAGAAATGGATTGGAATCCTTATATGTCGACTCTTACATTGAAGCTCGCTAACACAGTGAAACAATTAGTTGGCTTTTTATAAAATAGATCTAGGTAAATGTGAGCTAATTTTGCTAGTGCGTTTCCACATATGATAGGGGAAACCCATTCATCTCCCTTGACATTAGTTCTAGGCTCAGATCCAGTGCATATACACTATGGCTCATTTCTGCTGTGTTTGTTGAAGGCTGCTATGTGTTTATTTATTCCTTAAATATGTACTGGTCTCCTACTTTGTGCTAAGCACTAAGAATAGAGTTGCAAACAGAATTGGCAAAACTCTCTACCCTAGTGTAACTTGCATTCTAGACCAATAAATAAATAAATAAGATAAATGAGAAAAAACACAATCCGTTATGTATTTTGTGCTAAGAAAAAAAAATAATATTGCAGGAAAAGGAAATCCAAAATGATGTAAATCAGGAGGATTTCAGACACTGAGAATGTGAATTTTCAGTAAAGAACCCACACAAGAAAGGGAAAAAGTCATGCAGATATCAGAGCCAATCACTCCTAGCAAAGGGAACAGCACATGCAAAGGCCCTGAGCAAGGAACCTACTGCACGCAAGACTCAGTGTACAGAGGCCTCAAAGCTGAGTAAGTTCAGAGCTTGTAATTAATAAAGTGGCTCAGGATAAAGTTTACCTAAATTATGTGGGGGTGGGGGTGTTTAAATTATAAAAAAAAGATAGAAACATGATTCTATAATGATTCAGAAGAGAAAGCAATATAGTATGGTAACATGGAAAGTCAGCAGGCTGGGGAAACATTAGCAGAGAAGGAGGAGATGATCACAGCCCCAAACCCTACTGAGGAGCCATTTGCAATTGATCCTGCTGAGGAGGGAGAATCGTTCTTCTTTGAGGATGTGGCTTCTGGTTGATTGCACATGCTCCCAGCAATGGGCCCACACCCATCCATGTATTGGCAGCACTAACTGAACCTATTGGGTTCCCAGTAAAAGAAAAGAAGATACAAAGTTATGATGGGGGATTGTAGGGGATATGGGAGGACTTGAAGGAAAATGGGATTAAGTGTATATGGCTATATTTCATCATATACATGTATGAAGGTTCCAAATAATAAAAAGTATATGTAAAAACATAAGTACACATCAATTTTATTTATTTTTCTAGCTCTGATAATTTAAAATATATTTAAATAATATATATATTCCAATATATTTTTTTAAAGGATATAGGACATGAAAGTAGAGGGAGACTATGTAGGGGAAGAGTTTTAAAGAGAGGAATTAGGAGAAAAAAAAAGAGAGAATAATGGGGGAAGGTGAATAAAGCATGTTTTCTCTCATATGTAGAATCTAAATGTACATATATGCACATTTACATCCATACAACATGAAAGCAGAGGAGGGATTACTGAGAGAGAGAAAGGAGTCAGTGGGAGGAGGGGGACAGGGGGTGGTGGGGCAGAGCTGCAAGGGTGTGACCTAATGGAAACCATCATCTTGCATGCTAACCAAAAGTTACTGAAATTAAAAAATGATTCTGGTGGCTTCTCTTGGGCTCTTTTACTTCTGCTGATTTGTCTTATCCAGCCTTGATGTGATGGGTTTTGTTTTATCTTATTATTAATCTTACTTTGCTGTGTTGGGTTGTTATCTCTCAGAAGCCTGTTCTTTTCTAATAAGAGACAGAAGAGGAGTGGATCCAGAGGGGAGGGGCAACGGGGAGGAACTGGGAGGGAAAACTGTAACCAGAATATACATTTAAAAAAGAAAAAGAAAAAAGAAGAATGCAATTTGAAAAAAACAAAGTAGAAAGAAAAGAATGCACACATCCTGGCATCTTAAAATAATATAAAATCAAAGCGGGAAGATATTAGTAAATGTTGATATTTAGACCACGATTCAGATTGAGATGATATGTAAATTTATTACTTTAAAGCAATAGTTTTAAATGTTTATATCAGCATGAAAGAAATGAATGTTACTCTAAAAGAATAAGGAAGATGTGAATTGAATCTTATTTAGGGATGCTATTTACTATAATTAAACAGGTTTTTGTGGAGGGTTTTTTGTTTTTGTAAGTCATCCTGCATGAACTGTTCCCGTTCAAAACCAATCATTTGCTGCCCCCTGCCTGTGAAAAGCCTTTATTTTTTTCAATGAATTTGCCTTTAAAGGAAAAGATTACTACACCAGATATTTAAAAACTGAAGAAGAATTCAGGAGACTTACCACATCCTATAAACAACAAAGTACTAATTAAGAACCTATACTTTTAGGTTAGACTACCTGGGTTCAAATCCAAACCCAAGTACAGGTATGAACCCGTCTGTGTAGTCAACTTAGATGACACATTTGTTTTCATTCCTAATCTATTTAAAGAAGATAAGACGAATAATTCTCATCTTCTGGAGCTGGCCTCAGACTTAAATGTGTTCATCTTTAGATAAGTGGCACAGATTTGGATGTCATTAGTGAGAGGACTGGACGTTGTCCTTCCCAGCACTAGTAATCCTGGCTTCTTGCATTCTGCTCTATTTTTCTGTTTGCTTTTTGTAATAATTTACAATTTCTAGACCACAAGAAATGGAAGTGTTGCCTACATTCATGTATCATTCTCTGCCTGTATCTCATCACTGAAAAGAATATAGAGATTTTTGGTTTTGTTCCTTAATGTGTGCCGGTGTACGCCAGGCATCACGTCAGATCTGGCCCATAGGACA